AGATGAATAATTTAAAAAGTCAGCATGCATCTTCAAATATCTAGAAAGCAGAAAGAAGATATTTTAAAATTGAAAAAAAAGATTATGAATGTGAAGGAAAGCCTTTTATGTGTTTTCATTGGAATAGTATTTGGTTTTCTGTGATCTGAGATCAGTCAAAAAGAGAATAAAAAGCCAAGTAGTTTTGATTATGGCAATTGGATGTAAATAAAAGAGATGTACTTTCAAGTGAAGTCAAGATTTTGTAAACTTAACTTGCAGATAGATTAAGATGTCAGAGAAACTACAGCTCACAATTACGTTGATTTTAATAACTATTTTTCCTTAAAAATGACAATATACTACTTAAGAAATGAGAAGAAAAACTGTTATTAGGGAAGCAAAAGTTTTGAGACATTTTGGAAAATTTTTATATAACACATGTGAAAGATTATACATGATTCTATCACTTTATGGTAGAATTTGAAGATGACATAGTATTCAATATTTAATGATTTTCAAGTAAAACAATTTTTAAAAGAAGGTTGAGGTTAACTTATGCAAACAAAAGATGCCTTTCTTTGTATGTGTTATTATAGGATAATAAGTTATGCATTTGAAATTGGATATCATAGGTAAATATTTTCATAGTCTAAATCGGAGGTCAAAATACAAAGAATGAATACAAAGACAAAACTGCTAATTCAGCTATCAAATGAAAACATTAATTCTGTGAGAAGTACAAACTCTAATTTTCTTAGTCAGAATTGTGTCATCTCCCCCCCCCATGAGTTTCTCCAGCTGAAATCTGGCAAATCAGTCCTGAATGATCTTCGCATACACAAGTTCTAAAATCAGTCCTGTTTATCAGTAGTTGATTCATTCCCTCAGGAAATACGCAGGGAGACTTACTACATGTCCAATACTCTACCTACCAGACAGAAGGGGCACAACCAGCAACAAAATCACATAGGAAGGTCTCTGCCCCTGCTACAACTGAAGGGAAACTAACAGTGTCTCGCTGGCACTGCACTGCTTGGTCCTAAGGAGGAACAGAAGACTCCCTGCTCTAAGAAGAGAGGAACCAGTTCTGAGCAGGCAGTAGGTACTCCAGGGACAGGAGAGAGGAGGAGTCAGGGAAGTACTCTTGGACACAGTGATTTTCAGATTGAGAATTTGAGGATAGATAAATCTGTAACAAAGTGTGTAAAGTGTCCCTTGTGGTTGGCGGTGGGGAATAGCACGACTATCAGAAAAAGTGCAACAACCCCCCTCCATGTCAGGAACTTAGAAAGGTAGGGAGGGACCCGAGTTAGCAGAGAGTGAAGGTATGCTGTAGAGGAATATCAGCCGCAATTCTTCCTGTTAAGGAAGACAGATTATACCAGATGAAAGTACAGCAGGGAGACAGGTTTGCGCACAGAACTTTGAGTTCCATGTAAAACAACAAACTAAAAAAAAATCATGTACTATGATCTGGTACAGCTAAAACATGTCTAAATGAATTGGGGAGATGCAATGTGCTCTCAAGATAAATAATATGAAATCATTAAAGGCGTTGTTGGTTAGGAAGAAAGAATAACAAAGAAACAGGATTTAAATGACCAACTCTGCTAGTTATGAGTTTGTCCATTTACAAAGGTACATGTGTTTGAATGTGAACATATAGTGAGGTTTGGGAGCATATTTGCACACTGACCAATAAAAAGCTACTTACTGGAGGTTTTAATGAATTCTGTCTGTACGTTCAAAAGACCTTACAAAAAGGGTAAAGTAAAGCCAATTTTTCAAACTTCAACATAAATTGCAATATTGATTCCTGTTCATTGGACAGCATGGAAAGACTGATTAGAATGCATTTCAGAATTCTGAAACAAGTTGCCTTTAAAGATTTGGATATTCATTCTGCGTTTAGATTCTCAACCAAACTCATGAAGTTCGAGCTAATTATTTGCCATAACAGTAATGCAGAATTTTTCTCTGTGTACTATAAACTGGTTTATCTCACTAGTAAAGAAAAGTTAAATGATTAAGGAGCATTATTCTTTGGGAATATTTCCTAAGCTATTATGTTTTCTTCCTTCCCATCATTTTGCTTTTATGGAAATGGTGATATAAAATGCTCGTGAGATACTGTCAACTGAGGTGCTTCCATGATCGTAATTATCTGGTATATGAGCAGTGTTTAAGAACCCAACTTCTAAGTGACTAACTCCAAAGCCAAGTGTGGCATTATTTATGGCTAAAGTGTTAAAAATACATGATGAGCATAAATGTTGTGGACTGTTTTTGTTTACCAATTAAGATGTGTCTATTTCAGAATAGAGAGTGATTTCTGTTATGGTTGGATTGGGAATAAGAAAGCAGCTGAGCCTATCACCGCAGCTGGGCTTGGGGGCTCTGAGGGAGACCATGAGTCAAGGAAGGTTTATGTGATGGCTTGTTGTATTTTTCATTTTTGACCTGTGAAGAAGAGCCAAAATGCATGACAGAGTCCTGTTTGGCAATTAGACAGATTTTATTTACTACCACTTATCATTCTTTTGATTTCTGCAGTTCATGGTTAATTTTGTTCTGTTCATTCCAAATGTGCTATTAGTCTTGATTAATATCAAAACAAACAGAAAGCATTCAAAGGCAAAAAGCAAAAAGAAAGAAAGACAGAAAGGAAAAAGAAAAAGTGTTACTTAATACAGATGGAGGGAAAACATTTCTGTTGCATTATTTAAAATGTCAGAAATAGGAAAACTACTGCATAAATATGTACTTTAAAAAGAACAAGGATATGTATGGTGGTCTACGCCTTTAACACAAGCATTTAGGAGACTGAGGATTTCTGTGAGTTCAGGCCAACTTGGCCAAGAAGAAGGAGAGATCGAGGAGGACAAAGAGGAAGGAAGAGAAGAAGAGGAAAAAGAAAAACAAGAAATTAAAAAGGAAAGAATGAAAGAAGAACTAATTAATAAGTATACAGCACTTTATCTCATATTTTATTAATTAGGGAAAATCATTAAACAAAGTTATGAATATTACTAGATTTATGAGGAATGAAAATTCTGCATTTTGAAAATAACAATTAGAAGATAACAAAAGGCAGACAATAAAATATTTTTAGAATAATTAAATCACAGTAATACAAATTTGGCATTTTTACTACTTAGCCTCATACAGCAATATGTATATTATATTAAAGTACAGAATTGGGTGTATGTGAACTTTACAATTTAAAATAAAAACAACAGTTTCATTAATTGTCAAGTTCTGTTTCCAGTGTACAATGGCAGATATATTCCATGTAATATAATAAGCATATTTGATGTGATTTAAGTTATTTGAGAAAGAATTTCACTTTGTTAGCCAGTCTGGCCTACAACTGTCAATCCTCCTGCCTCACTCTCCAAAGTATTGGTAATCACAGGCCTGGGTCACATCAGCTGATTTAAAACATCCAAACAGTTAAGCCAATGTTTAATCAGTTCTTACTAGCAACAATGAACACACAGATGTCTATTCTTTATCAGTTTTGCCTAAGTTCATCTGGATCAGTTTGAGTTCTTCTCTCTCATTCTCTCTCTCTGTCTCTGTCTCTGTCTCTGTCTCTGTCTCTGTCTCTCTCTCTCTCTCTCTCTCTCTCTCTCTCCTCTTCGTGTGTGTGTGTGTGTGTGTGTGTGTGTGTGTGTGTATGTGTAAATATATCAGGTCTATCTTGAGCTTTCTTTATTATAGTATTTTAACATGATCTGAATTAGTATCTGCCTAATATCCTGTGTAAACAGAATATATCTGATAATTCTCCTTTCCTAATAATGAGCATTGGCTTTTTGGAAAGGTAACTTTTTTGAACTACATGTATATTCTTTTTCATGATCCAAAAATGGACATAACTGAAATCTACTGAAATCTATCATTCTTTTAAAAATGCGAGATTTTTTTACCTAAAAGCACATGTCATTAATCTTCTATATTATTAAAATTAAATGTTTTCTAATAGCATGAATAAACCTTAATATTTAAAACTAATTATTGTGATTTCTGGAAAAATAAATATTTGTTAAAAACACAATATTATATCCCCAAGAATATTTCTTCAAATTTTGGATTATTATTTATCACATATATGGTACAAAACACTGTATTTCCTTTAAACTAAACCAAGGCTGACACTTTTGGAGCTGACTGAGTAAGCAAAATAATTAGTATCAAACAAAGCCCTAAAAAGTCTTTGTCTTAAAATTTAAAATAAAATTAATTTGGGTGCTTAGGCCCATTAATTATTTTAGTTCCCCCTTGGAAGAAGCATCTTGACTTGGAATTGAAGCAAATGTTCTTTTCCTCATTCATATATTCATGTTGTTAGTGAGTTTGTTGTATAGAGTAGGTGTTTGAAAGTAAATTCTGCTTTCAGATTTTGTTCTTGCTGAGTACCAAGGGCTCCACAATAGACCTATGTAGCTTTTCTGACTATTTGATACAACCTTCTTAGCATTGGATATATGATATTGCTCAGCAAATCTTCATTACTATAAAAAAACTATAGTATGCATTATGTGGAAATCTACATAGGACCTAAATAATCTTTCTTACTCTAAACATTCAACATCTATTTTGTATGTATCCTGCAATAACTGTCACAAAAATGAATAGACATGTTTAAATTTAAAAACTATTTGTATAATATATAACTTCATGTAGAATGGAAATTATAAACCCTGCCAGAATTAGATTGTGCTTCAAACGTTCAATAAAACACATTTACTGTGTCCGAGATTAAATCATACATTGTTTAAAATTAATTATTCTTTTTTAATTGCATTATATAAACAGAAATGACCTGTTAATTTAAAGAAAATCTATCAGCGCAAAATGAATTCACTCATATAAACAAGCAAGATGAACTTGACCTTGTTTGAACTTGTTTTGATGTGGCCCAGATGGTAGGCTACATGCTTGAATAGCAGCCTAAAGCTGAGGAAAAACTCATATAGCAAGATCTAGATTTATAGCCTTCTGCGAATTCCTACCTTGTATTGTCCTTTCTGCATCTGTTCTTCCGCCGCTCCGGTCAGCTTCTATCTCTGGGGTCAGGGAATCTGAAAGCACAGAGATGTAAGAATGACATATAGTTCATTTGGATTCCTGTTGTCGTTTCAAAAGAAGAGCTACCTGTTAGTTGGGCTCAGAATTAAAACCATGTAAATCTTTGTCATCTATGACAAAACTGAAGACATCATAATTTTCAGACGGTGTTAATAGATAACTGAAGCAATATTGTTCATAAGACAGGTTGGAGTAGGAGTCCCTCGATTAACCCTTTATCACTTTCCCATAGAAATGGATTTTGGTAAGCAGAATAGCAATGCCAGTTCCCAGATCCTGAGACTAAATAACGAAATGGTGGAAGCACCTAAGAGATAAAGTATTTGCTGAATGATTCATGAAGCTGAGACGTATACAAACCCACAAGCACATATCCACATTGTCCCTCTGCTATTGCAAATCAAAGTTTCTTGTGTAAAAAGACAGCATGCCTGCTCTTACCGTTTAAGACCCTGAGACTCTCTGCTGAAGCCGCCTGCTTCAGAGTCTGTTCAGCTTGCTCACGACGTTTGGTCTCAAACTCCAGCGCTTCCTGCAGTTTTCTCTTCGCCTTCTTTTCCTTCTTTAGCCTCTTTTGGACAATGGCTAGAAAAGAGATCTGCAGGTTACTTTTCAGAATGTTTGCAATGACGCTGATTTGCAAACAGTCGGTCATCCTTACTATTATACTGATTTTCTCCTAATCAAAGTTGTCAAATCCTAACTTTACCTAAAATAATCTGTACGAAAATACTCACACAAGTCAATTCTTTATTTTAACCTCAAATGATTACAAGACGGACTTTAATTGCCCTGTGGAGAGATATCTAATGGGATGACGACTGTAGTAAATATTTGTTTTCATTGATTAAAAAAAAAGTTTGAAATTTGTGGTTTAGTCCCTGTTCTTGAATCAGTTCATTGCAGAGCACACGGAACAGTGCATGTTTTTGTATGCATTTCTTGTGGACTCGGGAGGCACTACCTCCACAAATGCTGTGAAAAAAAAAAACAGAAAAAAAGCATACCAACAATATTTTTAGTAATTATTCCTTCAGATTTTAGAAATATGGACTATCATTTTTATATGAGAACAGCATACTTCTATTATTAATAACAGAAGCAGTAATTTCTTTTGATGATGATAATATATTTTTTGAGGTTGATTCTTTCCTAACAAATATGTAACACTATAACATATTTCAAGAAAACATGTAGTTTCATTTTGTTGGAATTACAGTGAAATGTAAAGTTATAATGGGATACTGATAACAATATATTTTGTATAAACATAAGATATAGACAGTGACACATAACTTGGTTGTGATATATTCTCTCCTGTTACATGATAGCAATAGTGGTATGCAATGTTAATCAACACATAATAATAACATATACAATAAAAATATTCATTAATAGAATGAAACTGCTTTTACCCTGTCTACACATGAATAAGATGAAAAGCAATTAGCATTCTGGTGAAATGTAGTTTTATAAAATGATCTTTCTAGATAATTAATAAGTACTTTGGTTAATTAATAATCACATGTTTGACAACACCACTATTCCAAAATTCATTTTTAGTATAAATAGCAACTGGTCTAAATTTCTTGCTACCTTTTAAAGAACAATGTTTTTGCTTAATTTCATATTTAATAAAATATAAACTTGGAAAATATTCTAGTAATATTTCATTTCAGTTTCTAATCCCCACAAGTTCCATTTGTATCATCACTAGTTCCACTTAGATGACATTTCATTAACCAGTTGAGTTCATTTGTTTATTTGTTTTTTGGTTTATTTATTTATTTTTATTGAGATAGGGTTTCTCTGAGTAGCTTTGGAGACAGTCCTGGAACTCACTTTGTAGACCAGGATCTGGAACTCAGACAGATCTGCCTGCCTCTGCCTCCTAGGATTAAAGGCACCATTACCACCCAACAACTACATCCTTATATGAGAAATAATTGACACTGATTTCAAATTAATGCCAATTTCCTTCATTTAGGAGTGAAATTATTTGCTTATATTCTCTCTCTTGTCACTTTACATCATTCTTTCTAAATATTATTTAATATTTATCTGTGAAAATATATGGTAGTTTCGAAATATGTTTAGAAATTGCACCTAACCATACTATTATACCTGGATACACAGAACCCAGCCTTGCACACTCAGTTTCCTCCTATATGATTGCAGAAAATGATATCAGTTGTCTGCAGGATAATATACTTCTTTAGTAGATGCATTCATGGTAGGTAAGTATGGACAATTAATCCTTTGAACTTCCTGTTGGAAGTTAGTTCAGTGGGAGTTTCAGGGTGTGGTCTGTGGATGTTTTGCTCTCTAGTGGTTAAAGGAGTGAAACCTAGTAATTAGACTCACAAGACTCCAAAGGTGATTACAGAAATCCTAAGGCCTATCTTTGATTTTATATGAGTCTTCTTAAGGCTAGAACAAAATAGAAACATGGCTATCTAGTAAAAGGTGGTTCCACAGATTCAACTCTTTTCTCCAACTTCCTTATTCACTTCAAGTACATTTATCATCAATGTTTACCATGCTTGAATCTCTTTAGGTCTGTAATCTATGCAAATTCATATTATTTAAAGCCATGTTATATGCTATGTGACAGTGTCTCAAATAAAACTGAGTCCAGAAACCCATTAGATATTGACTCATAATATCTAATGAAACAATCTATAAAATCCTAAAACAGAGGCAATAATCTTTAAATGACCACACCAAACATGAAAGAAGGCAAACTGAAAATTTATATGGGATACTTATAAACTTAAAGAAATGGAATTCCCCCCTTTTATAGTTCTAGTAGAATCTTGTAGCTGTAACAAAGGAGAGATTGGTTGCAGTCTTCAAATTCATGCATAAAATAAATATACAAATACGGGTGACCTTCAAAATTATCTATTGATGACCAGTATAATATTTTAAAAGAAGCAATTTGAAGATCAATAATACCATTATTTTATCCAATAAGAATTCGTTTTGGTAACTACTTTATGGACTTGACCTTGCTGAATGAACATGAAGCATTCAGAAGGAAAATTATACAAACACTTAACTTCGGTTATTTGCCAGATATTCATCAAGCTTCCATTTCAGTTGATAAACATCTTACCAAACCTGCTTTGCTTGAATAATGAGTCTTTTCTATTTTAGCATTATAACTCTAACTACTGAGGTTCTCAAAGGGCAATCGTGAGTGAACACAGCATTCTTCATCATGGCTATCACCTCATCATAGCTCATTCTTATCTTAAAGAATATGAATTCATTAAATTCTATAAGCAATGAAAATTATATGGTCAATGATATGATAGATCTATCTAATCCCTAGAGGTAGAAAAGAGAAGATAATATTCACATTAAACATTCATAAATACAATAAACTCATGATCCAAGTGCCATTCTAAGTTTAGTTACAGGCAAAATAGAAAAAATTAAATTAAATCACGAATGGAGAAAATATTATTTTGCTGGGTATTTCACTTAAATATTAGACTTCTGTGGAGTTTCACAGATACCTCTGTTCTTTTGTTCCATGGCCAGCTGCTTCTCCAGTGTTTCTCTTAGTTCTCTTTCCCTTAGAAAATCCATCTTCAGCTCTGTTTTTTCCAGTTGGACTTGTTTTTCTTGAGCTCTGGCATTATCTATGGCAACCTTCAAAAGGCCCTGTACAAATAAGGTATTCAGCATGAGCATACTTTGATACAAAACACATTCTGTTCATTACTTAGATGTATTTTCAGTGAGAAGAGCCCACTTATCAAATTCTGTAATTCTTGTGAATTCATCCAGGACTCACAAATGATACAGCTTAAGCACAAAACTTCTACATATTGTCAAACTATGTACAATCCATTGCTTCTAATTAGACTATCTAGATAACGAAATTTCAGTGATACTCACACAAAAGCATACTATGAAACACAAATGCACAAAAGCAGTTCTACCAAGAACTGTCCAACAAGGTCTATATGATCCTGGTAAGATGTCACTGTCTTTAAGCTCACTCATCCATTTCATTGCAAGGTACACTTTCTACACCTGTCTTCTGTGTGTTTCTCAATACAACTATCTATGTCTGCTGAAGGAAGTTTGCTCTTCCCATTTATATGCCTCCCAGTCTCATTTTGCTTCATATTTGTCCAAAACCACCATTTAGGAGAGGATTTCTTTGATTATACAACCAGAATTATCCCTTCAAGTAGATACTGTTAGCCTTCCTTAAGCATCATCATTGTGTTCATTTTAAGCAATATTATATTAGATATTGATGCATTTACTAGCTTATATCATTCCTCTTCCACTGTAGTGTAAGTTTTTGGATGAAGTAAGGGATAGTTGTTATTTAACATTCTGTTTCCAAGTACAGAAACCATGCCTGTCATTTTAAAATAGGAAAATATTGACAAATTAGTATTATCACTCTGATATGTTTTTGAGATACATAGCATATTTAAAGCATCTAGAACAACATATTAGCACTCAGTTATTTTTATGATGTCCTTCTAAAGACTGACATAATCTGTGAGTAACAGAGTAGCAACTCAAAGAGGCTTGAGAGAAAACGTAACTTACTTATCCTTACAGCTGATTGTAGGGCTATGTGTTTTTCATTCGTGTGTAATTTTCATAAATTTAGCTGCACCTTCTACTCTGTGAGTGCATATTATGCATACAAAAACCATCCCATGGTCTTTGCCAGATACGGTATTTATGATCAAATTAATCACTGAAAATTGAAGTTAAAAATTCTATCAGCATGAATTCATCCCTACGCAATGCGATATTTGAAGTGTAAAGTATTTTGTCATAGTCTGTGAATGTGCCAGCCTGAAATTTGACATTGGAATTATACAGGAAGTGGAATTTAACGCCAGTGCTAGAGGATCTCAAGGATGTGACCTTTGTAAAGAGTCTATGTGAGTACTTTGAATCAGAAATTCCGACCCCAGCTTGATTGAAGCCCAATCGAGAGGTAGTCTGTCTGCAGCAGAATAGGGTAACTTCTAACACTGTCATAGACCATTTTAATTATATGTAAAGATGATTTTTCTGTGTGTTATATATGACCCAGAATTTTCTGCCACAATTCTTGTGAACAAAAACGAGTAAAAAGTGGGATTTCTGTGTGGCAGCTGTTCCATTCCTTTCCTTCGTTGTTTAGAAATAAAACACAGCTTCTAAGGAAACTGCCATCTTAACTGAATTCAGCAACAGTCTTGTATATGTTTCTTCTGCATCAGGAACAAACAATTAGTAACAAATGAAAGAGATCATTACATGAAGTGCCCTTTCAGATCACCCCAATTAAAACTTTAGTTTAGCTGTATTTTAATTCTAAGATACCAAATTCTAATTTTCTGCTCTGACTGCTCTTGTTGACTTATCTTTGAAACATGTACTCTCTGTGCAATGCCTTGAGATTATTTAGCAAGATGCCAATGTTGGCACCACTTAATGTGTTGATTGGTTGTTTTATCAGTAGCTGTTTAAAATAAATTACTATTAAACTATTATTGTCCTTGGGTGAGAAAACATAATATTTTGGTGTTCTTAAATATAAAATAATCATTATGAATAAACATGTTGAATAATGTTAAGATCTGACTCCAAACTGTCATTATGTTGTTAACATCAGTTTGCAAAGGATGAAGTTTCTGGAAGAATTTACATTTACTCTCTCCTCTTGTTATAGTTATTGGTAATATTGCTAATGATTTTATATTACATATTCTCCTGATTATGTCCGGAAAATACTATCTTTTCCTATGCCTCTGGAGACCATATATGATCTATATAAAATTAAAATTAAAATTTACTCTTTAAGTCAATGGACATAAGTAAGAATTCAGTGTGGACAAAAGTCAGCACTAGGGCCAAAGTGGTACACACTCAAAAGTAAGCTATTGCCAGTAGCAAATCTCTGCACTGGTAAATAAAATAAATACATGATGCCCATTCAGAATTGCAAGAGACTGATAAAAACGCAACAGCTACACCAGTCCACAGCTTCTGCAAGTCATTAAGACACCTTTTAACTATCAGCCACAATACAATCAGATTTGTGGAACTTCTGTTAATGTTTCAGGTATGCGGTATGCAAAAAAGGTCACAGTAACTATATGGTATCACTTGGAAGGGCCATATCTGCACAGTGCCATGACAACATTTTGTATTATAGTTAAGAGGCAAAGGCTTCAGTAATGATTTTTCCTTAGGTGGTTTTAATTTCTCATAACAATGAAGTTGGGTAGTGGTTCTAAAAATATAGTTGGTGTTTATTCTGAACACAGCAATAGTAAAAGACAATGGCTTTTTTATGCACAGATTTGTGTTCAATATAGCATGATGTTTGTAATCACACACAAATCCTTAACTAAAATATTTTTTATGTTTTACAGGATAAACTTCCTCATAAAATTGCAGAGACAGGTCTTTCTGCATGAGATTAGCAGTCTAGCCATGCTACAAATCATTGAAACTTAAAATGAAGTTCCAGAAGGCTCAGGCATCAGAGGCTTACCCAAGACTTTAGTCTAGGTCATAACTTCATCTACTTAATTTCAAAAATAAAATTTCTTTTTGGTAACTTTCTCTTTGAAGAATTTTAAGGAATTTTCTCCCTTGAAATCCAGACTTTTATAGTCAAAAAGAAAAACAAACCATTGGTATCAAGTGATGAACTATGACAGAAGTATTTTATAGTATTTTATACTCACTCTACTATTAACAGAGTTTCCAAAGCTGAAGAATGACATACTTCCTTTGAAAGATCTTTTCTGTGTATCAGCCCACCTTATAAGTCACGTGTGCTGATAACAAGTCATCCAAGATTCTGAAGTCCCTAGTTACCATGTCTGGCTCAATTGTCTTATATGCAAAGCCAGCATATGCAGCGGCTATAAAGATTCAGTATAAAATGGCTAGAACTGGGTCTGGCGAGACAGCATAATGGGTATGGGCACTGTCAATCAAGCTTAATGAATTGTGTTCAATTTCCAGAACTCACATTGTGGAAGGAGAGAACCAACTGTAAGGCCCCTGCTGCCCTCTGAACCTGCACCATGACAACCCCCTCCTTTAACCACCACCACATGTACAAAACAATTAATAAAGAATGAAAAATATACAGAACTATAGGAATTGACACGGTAAATTTGTTCACTAAGTACTATTAATTGAACTATGATTGCTACTGGAAATACTAGTAGGCAAATATCAGAATACAGTCCAGGATTTGAAACTATGATTCTGTTAACATCATAGTCAGCTGTGTTTAGAATTCTAGGTATATTTTAGTATTTTTCAGATCAGTGTTTTACAAACTTGTATGCGAACAAAAGGAAATAAGGCCATGAACACTGCCAGTATGCTGAACTCTCTACCAATGCCATTTCCTTAATCTCACTTTGCACAGAAGCAACAATGAGCCTACCTTCTCTCACATACTTTATTGTAAGTATCTTTAATGATAGTTTCATGCATGATTAACTTTTTTTTATCTTATGATCAGTGAGTCTGACCACCCATATCCTTTATGTGTTTGTGTAAGCTTCTGTTTTAAAGTTTACTTTCCTACATTTACATCCATGGCAACCAAGGCTTCTCCTCTCTCCCTTCTTCCTAACACTACCTACCCTAACCACTCCGCCTTCACTGTTTCTCTTCAGATATAGGCAGTCATGCGATTCCTCCGTGTAACCCTGGCTGTCCTGGAACTCGCTGTGTAGACCAGAATGGCCTTGACCCCAGAGATGCACCTGTGAGCTTACTGTCATCATCCTTTTGTATGTTTCAACTTCTACTTATTAACCTACCCTTACTGTACCATTCATAAGCCACAAATATCCCTATCCACAGAGTTTTCTCACTAGACTCAGCTCTATTCATTTTACAGTGAATTTGCTCTTTCACAATATATATCTGACTTTAGGGTAAAAATATGCAAACAAGTAATGATGCTATCAGTTCTAAGAGGGGCGATGGTGAAATAAGTCTGTACTGAATACTCAAAAATGCCATGTTTTAAGAAGGTCTAAGAACACAGTTCTAAGAACAAAAATTGGAATGAAATTTTATCACCCACTATAAAATCAATTACTGTTAATTATTCTGGCTGTTTTCATGACCATATTCAATTTATAAAATATTCAAGTGTCATGAAAGAAACTCCATAACTCTTCAAGATATGACATCCCCAAAGCACCAATAAAACTATTTTTAAATTAGTGTTTAATTTTTAGACATAAATATGATATTTTCCAAAGCAATTTTATCATAGCAATTATGAAAATAACTTTTGAAAATGATATTATGGAGGAGACATCTGCATCAATCACCATAAATCTAATTACTAAAAATTATTGATTAATGCTATATTGTAAAATAATTTGCATTTAAAACAATAATCTTTTAAATAATATTTTGAAAGATTGGGGAAATAATTCCTAATAGTAACAAATTGCTTTCAAGGTAACCATAGAGATTAAAACTGACTACATGAGTATGCAACAGTTTAACACAAAAGCAAGTAACCCGATTATACATACTGGAAATTACAGATGAAATTGAGGTAGGCAGATTGTAATGACCCAAATTAAAATTTAGACAGCAAACACATTCAGATTCTATGCCTAATAAGCCTGAGTCATGACTGTTTAAGCCTTCTATGTGATTTCTTGGATAAAGCCATAACTCAACAAATGTGGAAATAATAAATTTAACATCTATGGTGTTTTACAAACTAATGTGAAATCATCAAAACTTCAGTATGTATATGATTTTCAGTATGTATTTACACATGTTTATCTCTAACAAACTCAGTGATTTTTTAATCTTATTTTTTTGTATACATAGTGTGCATGTATGTGTACCTGAGAATATATTGAATATTCATAGGTGTTATAACACCTATGTCTCCACATACATGCGTATGAATAAGGTTCATGTGAACAAGTATAATATGTAATGAAGGATTTTTTGATGCTCTAGCTCTTTTATACCATGATCCCAATCAATAATACATAAAATCAATAATTTAGCGTGTTTTGCTTATCAACCTACTGTAAATTCTTCTAGGATATGCCCTCGGGACATATGTTTGAGAAAGAGAGCAGAATATGTTAAATAAACATTTAATTTTCTAAAATATGAACATTTTATTTTCTCTTTCTTTTTAAAAGAGATACTTAGTTTGAAATAACAGGGATATCATCCCTAGCCTAAGTATAGAATGGATGAATGAATACTCCCCAACTGTAAGTATTTAAGTTGTGAATATTAACATAATTCTTAGATCTGTTGGGCAACCATTCCTCTGATGAGTGAACTGATTTCTAGTAAAAAAATCTAGAGTGTCTTTATGTGGAAATTCAAATCAAATTATCATTAATCTGATTATAGTGTTCTGAGACAGTTTCGTATGGTGTTATACATAGAATTAAATGACTTGTTCTACTTTTCTTATTTGTATTAGTTCCTTGAGAGTTTTGTATGTTTTTTAATCATATTTACTGCCTACCTTTACTCTTCCCAGATCTACCCCTTACCAACACACCCAACTTTGTCTTTCCTGTGTGTGTGTCTGTCTGTTTTTCTCTTTCTCTGTCTGTGTCTCCATGCCGTTGTCTGTTTCTCTGTTTCTGTGTATCTGGCTCTCTCTGTCTCTGTCTCTCTGTATCAATCACAATCCAAACTGCTTATATACTCTAGGATTGGCTTCACAGGGCTGTACCTTGTCTTCCAGCAGCAACTAATTGCATGTAGTTCTCCAATGAGGAATAGGACTTTGTACCCACCTCCCGTTCTATGCTGATGTTTTTGTTTGCCTTGAACAGGAAAATATTGTAACCAAGCTATTTAGTTGACTGTGAATTCAACTAAGTGTGCAACTTTGCTACCATGCCCTAAAAATACTGTTTCCTGGCAATAATCCACTGCCTCTGGTGTTTCCCACCTATAGGCTCCTTTTCCACAATGGTCCCTAAGACTGATGACTGATTTCAATTACTGAAAAATAAAACCTTAGTGTTGAATACAGTTCTAGCAATTCTAATTACATTAGTATTAAAAATGTCATATTAATAGATGAGAAGATACGTTACATTAAATGCCGTCTTTTATATCCTTGGAGAGGTAAATAAAATTAATTACATTTCTACTGGGGCAAAGTTTAATATGGTAGGAAATGTGTTTAGAAAAATATAACTGAGTGTGGAGTGCTGGGCTACCAGCATCTGTATCTTGCGTCTCCTTCTAGCTCTTCTTGAGATAGAGAAGAAAAGGGAAAGCTCCATCTGGGGCCCACATGATCCCTTCATGTGTGGCAAGAAAGCTATGCATTCTTCTATCCCAAACACTTTTATTATCTTGGCTCCCTGCACGATGTTATTGTTCACTAAGTATTTTTGATTCATAATGTACTGTACGTAAAATATACATCCTGAGGGCCATATAGGAAATCCGTGGAAAGTTTTCTATGGCTTTTTGAAGTCTATTCTTTGAAGAGTCCCTACTAGCTGAAAGACACTTATTTACGAAAGAAGAGATTCTTTTGGATTCTTCTTTATTAGGCATATTTAAAATGACTAAACATATCATTTCCTCACTGGGAGGCCAAAAGTTTAAAAATTCTAAATATTTATTAGAATTTGTATGCTGTCATTTGGTAAACCAGACAAATTTACACACTTAAATTGGTCCCATTATTTGGCTATAAAGAGAACATTGAAGGGGAAAAGTTTTTCATAAATGCTCACATCATATTGGGTAATTTTTAATATGGTGCAATATAAATTATCTGTTGAGTATTTCTACAACAATTTGGTGAGTGTAGAAAAGTTGCCATTTAATTTTCTGGAGAAATGTTTAACACTACAGATCAGCCAATATCATGAGATACTTATTTGAAATAGGTTGTATTTTAGAAAAACAATTTTGTGTGTGTTTCATATGTTCCTTTCCTACAGAAAAGACATACCTGTATGTTAGTGAGAAGGGTCTCTATGGAAGACAGGCCATCAGGAAACAGAAAGGGAGATGGGAAACCTGGAGGTAGTGGTTGTCCATGCCCAGTTAGAGAAAGTTTGTCGATGCCATCTCTTGCGGTTGGTGTAGAAAGCGGGGTCTCATCTGTATGTGATTGAAACAAAAATATAGAACAAGTTACGCTTGTCTGTTTTTATTAGACCTCAGTAATGGCTTCCCTAGTGGTTTCCAGAACATTTATTGCAAATTGGTTCCTGCTATCAGGAGAAAATGCTTTCTGCTGAATTTTCTTTAATGAAAAAGCTGTGGAGATACAACAAGATAACATTAATGAGTAACTTTATAAGCCTTTTAAATGCAGTCTCTAATGAGACTGAGTTTACAGTGCCATAGAATCTTTTTAAAACAAATATTATCTCATATATAGTTGTGATAATATATTCAGAGTGACTTTATGAGCACCTTCCCAATTATCTCATTTTAGTTTGTTCTGTTTGGACTGACAATAGAGTATTTCTAAAGCTTTATATAAGAGAAATTTATTCTATGTCAGGGTGTTTCTTTCTCAATTAACCCTACCTTTATATTGGTGGTTTATTCAAATGTAGTCTTAATAAGCTTAACGAAGAACCTACAAGTAAAACCTATTTTTTCTTTTCATTCTTTCTTTTTTTTTTAACAACTAAAGGGGGGAGACTGGAATCTAAAATCATTGTTTCTAAGTTACAATTAAAATAATCACTCTCATTAGCTAAAAGTCTAATTTTAAATACTTAAATATCTAAAGTGCTCACAAATAAAAAGAAACTTTAGAAAAATAGTAAAAATGTAGCTTCCATCTTAGCACTATGGAAATCATATTAACCCTTTCAGGTAAGTTTTATTTATTTCATTGATTCCACAATTTTCAACAGTTAAGCCACTTAAAGTAATGTCCAAACACAAGTACACTTTCCTTTCATGGTAAAAAAATCTTTTTGTTCTCTACTATTTAAACATCTATATATTTTCCAATGAAATAGAAACAATTTGTGGCTTAAGCATAAATAAAATGTAACTCAGCTAGTATCCTCTATTTTGTAAATATTTTCAAATCTCACCTCAGGAAAATTCATCAACACAATGTATTTGATCATTTCTTTTGTATTTCTAAATTTTACAAGTGTCTAAAATTTTCAACATACTTGATTTTTGCCTATAATTTGACTCCCCTGTTATGTCATTCTTTTATTTTACAGTCTCCACTAATGTCAGAACATGTTAAATCATATCCCTCATCTTTCCACATTTTTTTAGTCAATGAAACAAATGGGAAGTAAAAGACAGGAGCGGTATAAGAAATACAGTATATCCTATTCACTAATCTCTTATCACCCTCACTCACTCTTATGCAATTTCTCCTTCCACTGCCTCTGTTAAATCACTGACAGATGATCTCAAGTAACATGTACTAGAAGAAGAAACAGTAAGCAACTAAGCCTGAACCCATAATGCTATATTTTATCATCGCTTTCATATGAGATAGAGAAAGGCTTCGGGGCTTGGGTAGAGCTGCAGCATGACTAATATGTGCAAGGTAATTTTGGACACCATTTACCAAGCTGTCATAAATTACTTCTCTAGACCAAGGCTGCTAGTGTTTTCTCATAATAGCTCTGAAAAGGCACTTGCTAAACATCTATGTGCATGTGCCATTGTTTAAGAAAGGAGAGCAATATTTTTTGATCTGTTTCACCTTAGCTGTCACATGGTAAAGAAAATGTGCCTTAATAGATCATGGAGATAATAATTGCTTGTCTTTTGAAGAAAGGAAGAGAGCCTGATGACCATTTGAGGAAGCATTCACCTTAGCATCTATGACTTCATAATTTTGGAAGACTATGTGAAAAAATGAGAACCAAATGCATTAAAAAAGCACACATTTGATCATATTTTCTATCACTAAATAGTTATTTGTTTTAACTTCAATGCATTTATGGTTGACTATGATTGACAGTTGAGAAACAAATCGTTAAATCACCATCATGCCTACATTCAAGTACAGTTAATTATTGAAACAATACACAAGATAATAGAGATAGAAGGAAAAGTTTCAGGGTAAAGCATTATGAAACTGTTGCTGACTGGAGTGACTGATTTCAGGTGATAAATATCTAATTCTTATAGTTGGCAAATCACTTTACCTCCTATTGTTCTCTCATTAGCCACTGCTCATCCCAGTCAATGAATAACACTCTTCTGTGTAAAAGTACAAGTATGTGTGCGCATAAATATTGTTTCTCTCATTGTATCTAGTATTTTAAATGACTGTAGACTATCATTTCTTATAGAACAACTTAAAATGGAAAGAAAAGGAACTTTTATACAAAATGTTAAATACATCCCCACCTTTTTTTTTTTAAAGAAGAAAAAAAGGCTCAAATATCAAACAAGTAAAACAAAAAAATTCGTTTGGGCCTTGATATGCGATCATCTGAGTAGACACTGTCAGCTCACAGCAATCCACGTCATGAAAGTCTACTGTATTTATCATGTATGGATTGTAAAGTTAAGGCTTAATCCCTCTCGCTTTTTAAATAACGTGACCTTGATTTCCCAAATATTTGTGGAAGCTTAAAGCAAAAGTTCGAGGCCAGAAAATGTCAGAGCCTGGGAACCACACAAACTCCAGTGACTTCAAAGTGGGAAGAGAGAGGCAGCAAACATTCACAGATCTGATTTCCACTTGATATACCTGCAAAGTGTTTTAGAAACTTTGTTTGAAAGACAACCTGTCTGGTCAGATTTGGGGATTTTCAGCTTGTGCCGTTTGACAACGGTTTTACTATCTGATTATAATTGATTACAAGTGAACCGAAATTGCAAAAGTTCTTCAAGGAAGTCCTCTTTTGCTCCTATAATGACTCAAATCGTTATCATCAAGGCATATTTACAGTATTACTTTATTTGGGAAAGGTTTTTGTTAGAGCTGTATCCCACAAACTTAATGTGAGGTTACTCCTGTGTGAAATGAGACTGAAGTCTGATGGCATATGTCCTCATGAGGAAAAGTCAGAGAAATATTTGGAAAAAAAGCAAAAGAATACACACAGACTGTAAAAGAGGAGGTGATGTGGTCAAAGTCATGGAATAAAATATTGCAGCCACAGTTAGGTAACACTGGTACTCAACACACGCTAGATGAAACCAGCATGCTAGTTACCTATTAAGTTGTTATATTTGAATTCTAAAAAGAAGTTATTAACTTTAAGTATTAGTCTATTTAGATTTAGTCACAAGGAACTGTAGTAATTCCTGAAGGAAAATGGAATGGCACATGCTTCAGTTTAACAAGTAATTTCATCTTAATGCTCAGAAAAATTACTGATTGAACTCTGAATAATTACACAGTAAATATGCTGACAATTTTTCCATTATTTAATCAAGATAATAGAAATTTAAAGTACAAATGGAAAAGGAAAACATTTCAATAGTATAATAAAGGATGAAAACATTGTATTATTTTTCAGTTATCACTGGAACTCAGGATTCTACTATACTTTGTCAGTTTTCACTAAGAGACCATCAGAAAGATTGACGTCTAAAAGACAAGCCTCTTTCCTCTTCAGTCTTATCACACATAACAATTTAGCAGGATATCCTAAGGAACAGTGTTGTTTAAAAAAATAATGTTCCTCTACTTTTACAATGTTTTCTTTCCTGTTAATAAAATATAACGCAATTGTTATTTTCATAACCATTCCCTTTGGGTTTGAATTACACCTTCTTTCCTGTGTGTGTGTGTTCATGTTTTTCTGTAATGTCATTTTTATTATTACTAAGCTACCCATCCCAAACTAAAGAAAGGGAGTTTTATGAAAACTATTGCTATAGTTGCAAAGGGCAGGGGACGGGTGCTGAAAAATACTCAAGAGCATATGGTCTTTCCACTTAGAACTGAATAAAATTTTTTTATAAAAATAAGAACTTCCTTGGTTGTCTTAGTAAATTTCTATCATAACTCAAAATATTCAATGCAAGTGTTACTGGCCTAAAATAGAAGCATGAATAACCTAAAAAATAATGTTAGTGCTCAGATAAAGAATTGAAAATTATACCCAGACTTTCAGTCTGAACAGGATAGCTGAGACGAGGGTGAAGAATTCTCCTAGTGCTGGAGTTATAAGAGGTTGTGTGCTGCCCAGTGTTAGTGCTGGCCTGGGAACTGGAGGAATTGAACCAAGGTCTTCCTTAAAAGCATCACACTCTTAACCACTACACCATCTCTCCAGTCCCATACAACAGATTCTTTTAAATAAAAGAAATTTCAAGTCTATATATGATATAGCAAATTCAAATAAAGAACAAATATTGTTAAACCCAGAAAGTAAAATTTGGTCCTGATGCTACCTAGTATTTTTTTTCAAATTTTAGAGTGATAAAACCATTTTATATCATACAAAACACATTTGGCTAATTTGTAACAAGAATTAACTTAAACTCAAAGGATTGTACTTTAATCCAGCTACATTATATATGCAAAATGCTTTGTATAAAACAAAACATATTAGTGTAAATGTGGAAAAATAAAATCTGTGAATTTCCTTTTGTAAACTCATTTTTATCATTTGCTTGTGGTGTCTATCTTCTGTTTATATAATAAGCCTGTGATAAAAATTATGTGGGCAGGGTTCACTGGCATAGGCAGGAAATACCAAGAAACCTTTTGAGTATACTCTAGGCATTAGAACTTTGTAGTTCAAGTTTAGGGGAGAAGTTGATATGAAGGGTTACTGGCAGGTACAAGTGGTAAAAGGGCATCCTTTTTAAGTACAAAGACCTGAGTCAGATCCTCAGAACCTAAATAAAAGGAGAATATGCTATCAGATGCCCTTAAGTCACGTGCTGGGGAGCCAGAGAGAACAAACTCTGGGACTCAGGGCCTGGCCAGCCATGCCTACACAGTGAATTGTAGGCCAGGGCATTAAAAGACTATGTCTCAAAAATAATCTAGACAGTAACTGAGGAATCACACCCCAGTATAACCTGTGGCCTCAACATATATTTGCGTAGATGTGCACCTAAACTCACAGACACACATATAAACTCACATATAAACACACACACACACACACAAATATAATAGAATAATATACTTAGATGCT